TTCAGGTGACTACCTCTTGAAGCTCATGGAGAGAATGCCAAGAGTGTGCAAAGCAGTAATCAGAGCAAAGGGTGGCTATTTTGAAGAAACTAGAATATAAAACATGTTTTCAGTTATTTCACCTTTTTTTGTTAAGTACATAACTCCACATGTGTTCATTCATAGTTTTGATGCTTTCAGTGAGAATCTACAATGTAAATAGTCATGAAAATAAAGAAAACGCATTGAATGAGAAGGTGTGTCCAAACTTTTGGCCTGTACTGTATATATATATATATGTCCCGGGACACTGCTAATGCTGCTGCCAGGATACAGCGGTGGAGGAGCTGGCTGCTAATGCTATGTACCGGGACACTGCTAATTCTGCTTGCCGTGCTGCTGTAGCTCAGTCGTAACTGTAACTCATGCTGAGACTCTACTGACTGTGTGACTGGTAACTGTGACTGATGGTGGTGGGTGGTGCAACAGGCCAAAAGACAAATTCAAAACATAAACATGATTTGCAGACTGTAAAAATGTTTTTTAAATGTGAATATTCTGGCTGCACTATTGTTGTCGGTGAGATCAGTATGTTATATGAACATTATTCCTTAGTCTCTGTGACATATTAGGATGATTTTACGATTATTAGACTCACAAGTCAGTCTTTAGACGCTTTGCTTAACTAAAGACTGATGTCTTTCTCCCTGATTTTGTGTTTAGATGGGTGGATACAATTTCAGAGTTTAAAAAAAATCCCTACGTTGCAGAACCAATAGTAAATCTGCAGGGCAGTCCTCCATTGTGCAGTGCAATTGAGATCAGAGCTGCTACACCATCATCAAACAACTGCTCTCAAAAATGTTTTGTTTTTTTTTTTTTTTTTTTTTAAACAAAGTTTCCAAAAAGACACCACAGTTCAACCCTAGAGTTTACTCTAGAAGTTATCTATAGTGTCCAGTATGCAGTATTAATTTAGACAGCTATTTTACATTTTGTCATAGTCTTGACACAAAAATACTTATTAGTTTCAATCACATTTTAGTCATTTTTATCCTTCATAATTTTATTCTAGTTTTAGTTGACAAAAATTCAAAACATTTAAGACAACTTTCAGTTATTATGCTTTCTGTTTATTTTTTTATCTGTAAACTAATCCAGTGAGGCTCTTTCATGTATCAGAAATTAGAATCAAGGTGACAGGTTGTGTAAAGATTTTATTTAGACAATTTTTTTTACAACTTAAACTAATTTCTACACACTTATAAGCTGTCATTTCTTTAGCAGTGTTTGACAGGTTTAAGGTGTAATTTGCGAGCACACACTTAATGGTCATAATTTGAAAAGCTCAACATCTCTGTATTTATGCTCTCAAAAACTTTGACACCACAAATAACTAATCTGAGACAACTAGGATCTATACCCAGGTTAATTGTAAACTCTGACTTATCCATCTCACTGTTACGAAGCAGAAAAATAACTTCATTAAAGCCTGAATTCTTTCTTAATCTGCAACATGTTAGTCTGGAGGTTTAAACTCATGTCCTGGTGATTAAAACTAAACTTTTATCTCTGCCAGAGAAAACTGATCTGAGTTCAGACTGTTTACTTACAGCACAACTACACTCACATGTAACTGAGCCTCCTACCTGCCTGTCAAACAGCATCAACCCATAAACTTTCTACAGTCCGGACTGAGTGGAGTCCTGTGGGGTGAAGCTGTGAATACCAGCGGCCGGTGGCTGCTTGCTCCGCTGCTGTTCAGCGGCTAACAAGCTGAGCTAACTGCTAACAGTCACCTCTGCAACTAACAGACTCTACAAATCCATTCAGCAGCTCCACCAACCAAAGTCAGACACACGGCTGAATATTTACTGCTGAATTGCAACTCATAACTCGCTCCAACGCCTGATGCTGCACCACTGTAAGTGTTTTTGCTGGCTAGTGAAACATCCTGGCGCCAACTATTTACTGGAGTTTACCAACCTGTCACTTAAATGGCTTTTGAAGATAATTACAAGCTCCCCTATTCTTGGCTTTTAGCGTCTGTGGAAATGAAACATAGATTTTGTCTTAGTGTTTAATTATCAATTTCTATTTTTAGCTCGTCATCGTCTCGTGTTCGTCATGGAAAAAGGGTGGTTGATGAAAAATTTTCATCGTAGTTTTCATCGAAGAAATGAGCACCGTTCACAACTAACGATATAAATGTGACGCCATAAAACACCTTTTTTCAATATGTCCAAACATGATCCTGGTAGATGCTCAGGGTGTTTTTTAAGCTGATTATATGTGTGTGTGTGTGTGTGTGTGTGTGTGTGTGTGTATATATATCAGGCTCTCAGATGGTGGTGGCCATGAAGGTCATCTCTCTGGCCTTTGACCTTGACAGAGGAACAGTGGGCAGCCTGCCCTCCCCAGCTGAGTTCCTGGGCTATGTTCACTTTGTGGGCACTGTTGTCTTTGGCCCTTGGATCAGCTTTTCCAGTTATAAAAATGCCATTGAGGGCAAAAAAATGGTGAGTAGTTTCCAGTTTTGTCTGTGTGCATGCTATTCTTCATGTATAGCACTGTGGTGGTAATTATGTGGTTTCTTCCTCAGAGCTGGTTATGGCTGTATAGTTCCTCCCTCAGCCTGTTGAAGAGCCAGATTTGTCTGCTGGTCTCCACCTGCATTGCCCCTTACCTCTTCCCTTTGTTAATCCCCATCCATGGAAATGCATTCACACAGAAGTAAGGCAAATTTTCATTGCAATTGTAGTGCAACTAAGGTAGTTTTGCCAATACAACAGCTGTTGCAATACACTGGTTTGTGAACACAATGTTTGTCTTTCTTTCCCTGCTTCCAAGATACGTTTGAGACAGGTAAGGCTTATTTTTAGAGTATAAATTTACTGCTTTTTCCCCACAAGCTTCCATAAATCCAATGCAGTGTGTTTAAAATCAATATCTTGGAGGGTATTGCTCTGTTCCCATCATTACTGTGTTCATCCTGCTTGAAAGCACAAAGTTAACTGTCTAAAGGTCAGATTAAGAGTACTCGGCTTGGTTATAGCATCAGTGGTATGATGCTACAGTTATCCATCATCAGGTACTTTGACATAACATGCTGAACTCAAGGTCCATTTACTAGTTTTTTTCTGGAGCTTTCAACTGCATCTCACAGTCTTCATCAGTGAATGGAGATTGCTCAGGTACCATCATGTGATCCAAGTATGGCACTTAAAGGACCATACTATTGGTTTTACACAACCCTTCCAGTATCCCAGGTGTGTTGACCCCTGGCGTCGCAGACTGGCTCTAGGGACATGGGACGTCACCTCTTGTGGTGGTGAAAAGGCCTACAAATGTCTGACAGTTAAGGTTAGAGGCAAAACATGTTTACTTAGATTGAACAGCCTTCAATGGGGCAGAATGACAAGAGCAGAGTGTTCCAAAACAAAATGTCGTGTGACATCGGGGCAGAACAAGCTGTAGTAAGATCAAATAAGTGCAAGCTTTGAAAACAGCAGGTAATCACACACACACAAACACACACATGCAAAGTTAGGTATGATGATTTGAGGAGGAGTATAAGAATGTTGGTGTACTGTTCTGCACTACTGTCTCATTGTTGCGCTATGTGAAATTGTAAGTTGTGTCTTCAGTTAACCCCTGAAGGCTGTGAATTGACCCCAAGTCATACGAGTCGTTTTTCAACACTCTCTGGTGGGAAAGGACCAAGAGCTGATGTGGGAGGTGGAGCAGTACCAACTAGACACAGCTGGGCTCACCTCTACTCACAGCGCTGGCTCTGGCACCAAAGTCCTGGAGAGGGACGGGACTCACCCAGCATGAGAGGTGCGGTGTGAGCACTCTTGTGTTGTGGAAGTTCTTCCTGGGGAATGAGAGGTTTGCCTTGATGGGACTGAGAGGAGGTCTCTAACTGTTGTTTGTGCTTATGCACCAAACGGCAGTTCGGAGTACCCAGCATGCCTGGAGTCTCTGGGGGGTCTCCTGGAAAGGGTACCGACTGGGGACTATAGTTATTCTGGGGAACATCAACCCTCACAAAGGCAATGATGGAGAAACCTGGAGAGGGGTGACTGGAAGGAACGGCCTGCCTGATCTGAACCTGAGTGGTGTTAATGTTATTAGACTCATGTGCTAGTCATAGACTGACAGAACAAACACCATGTTCAAACATAGGGAGGCTCATGAGTGCACTCGTACCAGAACACCCTTGGAAATAGAGTGAGGAGCTCAGACATCCGGAGGTAGCTCAGAGAAGAGCCACTGCTCCCCCATGTTGGGGCCAGCTGAGGTCATTCAGGCATCTGATCAGAATGGTCCCTGGGCGCCTCCTGTTAAAGGTTTTCAGGGCATGTCCAACTGGTAGGAGGCCCTGGGGCAGACTCAGAACATGCTGGAGAATTTATTTTATCTGGCCTGGGATTGCCTTGGGATCCCCCAGGAGGAGCTGGAAAATGTTGCTGAGGAGAGATGTCTGGAGTTCCTTACTCAGCCTGCTGCACCCGCGACCTGGCCCTGGATAAGCAGATGAAAAAGGAAGCACAGATGGATCACAGTAAATCCTTCGTACTTCCAACTTGCATAACTGGAAACCATTTCCCAATTCATGCAAACAGCACTGCCATTGATAGATGTCTTTTTCTTACTTTCCAGAGCCCATTGTTTTCAGTCATCTTAGCACGCTATCAGAAGCCTTGAAAACTTGATCAGCATAGCTAATGTATCAAAATTCAACATGTCAGCAATGGTTTTCATTAATATTACTTAATTTCAGGGTTTTAATAGTGGTACAATCACAGAGTGATCTGTGAATCGCTGCTGGTGGTGCTTTCATGTGCTGAAGTGAAGGTCTAACCAGATAACTTTTTCATTTAGCTGCTGAGCAGCATTGCATTTATAAGCTGTGATGTTTGAAGACTCAACAGTGAATATAAATAATTAGCAGGCATGAATGTTATCAGTACTTGTCATAAATGTGACAGTTAAATTAAATGATCTAAGAATAATAATTAATTATTAATTAAATTAAAGCAAATTAATTATTTTTAATTATTAATTAATAATTTTGATCACAGTTTTAGCTCAGTGACAGCCCATAAAGCTATTATTACAGTTTATTGCAATTGCTAAAACACATTTGTCACTACTGAAACTAGGGCTGGGCAGTATACCGGTTCGTACTGAAAACCGGTCTTTATTTTCGTTATGATATGAATTTTTCATATACTGCAACGCGGGGGTATAGCCCAAACAATGTCCGGAACATGCGCTGCAGGAAAGTGTTTCAGGGGACCCATTTCACCGCTGCACACCACAGGCGTGCTAGAGCTGGCTAAAGTGAGAGCATAGAGAAAAGTTTAGAGGCGAGAATGGGTGCTGGAGAAAGTTCTGAAAGTGAAGCAATTGTACACGATGCTGAAGAAGAACATGATGACCCAGAAGAACTCATACCAAAAAGAGCAGTGTTTCCCCTATATGCAACTAGCAGTGGCGCTGGTACAGCAGCCATAGTGCTCCACGGCGCAAGATAACAGCTTACCGGCGCCGGAGAAGTCCGGCTCCAGGTCCAATAATTTCCTCTTTCGTTGGTGTCATGACTGCCCAGAAGTACTTGGACAACAGAGCCGTGGCGGCACACAGGTATGTGGCGTGTCAGAGGAGAAACGAGCTGTTCACATTCCTCTCTTTATGGCAGGTAACGGTCCACAAACCTCACCGCACTTAAGGGACTGTTCTTATCAGAGGAGGAGGGTGGCTGGTTGATTTTTATTTTATTTATTTATTTTATTTTGATACCCCCTATGTTAATCACTTATTGATGCTGTTTTTGAAGTATGAATAAGTCAATAAGTAATTTATTCCATTGAAATATCATTGATGTATTATAGAAAAGTGATTTATCTTTCTATAAATGACAAAAGGCACATCTGCCTAATTTTTGCTGTGGTATCGTGATACTACTCAGAACCGTGATACTTTCACTGGTATCGCATCGTGGGTCCCAATTTTGGTACTGTGACAACACTAGCACACTGAACTACACAATAACAACAACAGAGAGCATTACATAAAAGACATTTTACAGATAAATCAGTATTTTATTATAGAATTAGATCTTTGCACTTTATTGAGTCTACTGAATTATTGTATTGTATCTTGTAACAAGAATGACTCAGCAATGCAGCAGTTTGCTTCAGTTACATTTATTTATGTTTTCATTATCTTGGCAGAGTGATTCACAGTACTTCAAATATAACATATTCACTCCCTCTCTTCTGCATTTGGCCACATGTTTTCGTCAACATCACATCTTATGTCTTCTCTGGCAAAGCACCTTGGGAAGAATCTTTTAGAATGTCTGATCCAACCCTGGCAGGTTTCAGGTGTAATATCTCCACACCCTGCATTCATGGCATCCAGCAAGGACAGCTGGTCATGTGGAGAGTGGTCATAAAGCTTTCACCTCCACGCAGAGAAAAACTCCTCTATGGGGTTCAGGAAGGGTGAGTATGGAGGCAAGAAAAGGACAGACATCCTGGGATGTGCAGCAAACCAGTCAGTGACTGCAGCAGAGTGGAATGCCACATTATCCCACACAACAACAAATGTTTTGTTTCTTGCCCTTTGACCTCTCTCCCCTGCTGGCACAAGCTGATTATGGAAATCATTCAAGAAAGAAATTAGCCTCTCTGTATTGTACATACCAATGAGAGGTTTGTACAAAAGCACACCATCATTGGAGAGGGATGCACACATTGTAATGTTTGCTCCCCTCTGGCCTGGGACATCCACAGTTGCCCGCTGCCCATTGACGTTTCTTGTTGGTCTAGCCTCCATCTCCGTTACCGTCTAAAATGAAGTAAACCCACAGCTTTAGTACAGCACATTATGCATAGTGTAGAAGCGAAAATCGGTGCCTGGAAGTGGGCCAGATGGCTCCCGACCTCGTCTTCTACTTCTCTTGCAGATCATCCTCTGAGTTGATTTAGTAACTTAGGTTCAGTTGGCTGGCACATAGAGAAACACTGGAGTCGAATGGAATCTGGTACAATCAAGTTTAATGTGTTCACAAGCAACAACACATACAACTCATGAGTCAAGCTCCGGAACAAGACTGAAGTTTCACTTTCTGCGCTGCTCCCTTTTATGCTGGTGAAGATTCGAGAGAATCTCCACCCTTTTCCTTTAGTCCATCCTACATGCGTTCGAATCTATTGGTGGCAGGTCTTTTCCTTTTTAGCCCTTTTTCATCTGATCCAAATCTATTGGTGGCAGGCCCCTTGGGCCCTTGTCCAAACATGACCTAATGGTGTAATCTCTGGGCCTGGAAATCCCCAAATTCTCCCACCATTAGATTCGAACCTGGTTTCACTTTATTTTTTAAAAACATATGAAACCTGGGGACTTTTCCTATACAATCCCCTGTGCTCTCATGCAATGTGAACTCTTAGAGTGTGTGTCATGTAATACAAACGTTAGAGTGTGTGTGTTATTATTAAACAGTACATGATGTGGTATATGTGTGCTCTTCAATGTGAATACATAGACTTGTATAACAGTGTTTTATCCCACATGGATGCATAAAAAACAATTTTATAGGACCTTATACATAAAACATGGTTATATAACCTTTACTCTTAATCAACTTATGCAGTATAACACCTTTACCTGATTAAAGATTACATCTTACACTACAATAGCTATGTATGTATTCTGTTTGGTAATTGAACAGACATCTTACCTGGACTTATTGATAACAGAGTTCTTTCACACACTCTCCATTTCTTTCAAATGGTACTGTGTACAACTGGTTCATCCTTATTTTATGTTTTTCAAGGACTCTGGCAATTGTTGTTGTGCTGACCGAGTTCACATTGGAAAAAGTAACATTGTCTGCCAGCACTCTGTCTAGAATTTCTCTCAGTTTTATGGCATTGTTTGCAATGACCACATCAATGAGCAGTTTCCTGGGCATCTGAAAAAAATGTCCTCTCCCTCCAGTAGGAGGCAACCTTTGAATCCTGCATACAGCAATATAAAACACAAAACAATCAAAAAATGTGAATAGATGTGAAATATAAACATAGTGTACTGTACTGTAAAATGTAGTTCAATAGTTGAGGGATGCATGTCTCACCTGTTGTTTTGCCAGAAAATTCTCATTATCGATGCAACTGTTGAGAGTTGCAAGTTTTGCTGCCCCCTTAACCCGGCCTCTCTCAAAGACAGTCCATGATTTACCACATGGTCAATAACTGTGGCTCTTATCTCATCAAAGACCACAGCTCTTGGTCTTCCTCTCCTTTTTCCTGTCCCTCTCACTGCCACTCTTCTCTCTTCACCAGACTGTTCTCTTTGATCCATATTTCCAAAAAACAAAATTCAGAAGCCATCCCCTTTTATCTGCTTGCTATAGTGACAAGGCCTAATACAGGTCACCTGGGTGGGTTTTCAGCTGCAAACTGCACACAGCTGTGTTTGGAATTATTATTTAATTTTATTGTCAGTATTTTGATATTTTTTTTATAGATTTCAGTGTGGCTGCAGCAGAGATGCAAATTCTGTTTTGATTGTTTGAACAAAGTGTGTTAGCATTTGAAAAAAATGTGCTTTTAAAGTCTAGTGTTTTGCAGGTGGTGAACTCTGACTGAGAAAAGAGTTCATGCATTTTGGTAACTGGTCACTGAATGCATTTTGTGTGAAAGCAATGAAAAGTGATTCACAGTTTGCTCGACATACACTTCTGTTTTGCTGACTGTGTGAAGCGTTTTGACACTTCAGTTCTGACCAGTGCTTGTTAGCAATTGAAAAAAAGGGCAATTACACTTTCTGCAGAGTGACTGTTATAGGGTATCAGTTAGAGCCAGAGTATACAACTGACTACATGATGCTGAGGCAAGCAGAGTGAGACGGGAAAAAGATAAGAGTGTAGAAAATATTTTTTTTCTGCAAAAGCTAAAATATGGCAGCACACTTTGGGAATTGACCAACACTAACAAAAAACGTAAGCAAATAGAACGTGATGGACTGGGGGCTCATCCTACTCTCCAATGTGCTATGTGTGAGCTCAGTCCTGTGTGTTCTTTAATGAAGCAATAGGAGAAGATATTCGGTCTCAGTTAATGTAGTTTATTAAGTAGTAAAGGAATAAAATTACAGAGCTCTGGGTCTCAACTTCACGTCCCTGACGAACAACAAAGGTGTGTCAGTTCACGAAGTCTGACCTCCTGTCCTTTCCCTGACCCAGTATATTTGAGCATAACAGAGTGTCATTGTGCACGCAAGGCGTTGTCCTCTTCTCATTGGCAGTTCCACTTCCTCCTTCACCACACCACGCCCCTGCCTCGTGTTAATCTGACTCCTTCCCGCTGGCGGTGGGGGCGTGGTTCCTGTTTTGAAAGACAAGAGAACAACACAACTCCCTACACGTGCTGTACCTTACTATCTGTACATCACTTTCTATTCTTTTTACCATATATGAAACTAATTATCTAAGCATTGCGGTATGTGCTCCTCAGACTTCATGTCTCTTCCTCTCCTGTACTTCTCCACTTCTGCAAAGCAAACACATTCAGATCAGCTGAAATCATCTCAGTATTCTCATTGTTCACACATCTAAAACTTATATAGTGAAACACAACTTATAGTAAAACACATAACATCATTCTATTCCCAACAAACGTTAATAGGCTTTAACATGCAAAGCACTGGTAAAGTCCTTTATATCATGTGATAGCAAAGATTGTATTGTCAGCTGTCATGGTGTGACTGAAGTTCCCTACTCCATGTGGACTTCCTGTGTATGACTATGTTTCTGAAATTTTGTTCGTGGGAATAATCAGATTGAGCGCCTGTAAGTAATCTGTCAGTACGTTTACATGGAATTAGAGAAATTGGATTTATTGTGTTCGTCCGACTACAACTGGACTTTTAAAATACATGTAAACATGTTAGTCTGGCTGAAATCATACTAAATTGAATTTCTCAAAGTCGGACTATCACACTCAGATAATGCGAATGGGAGTGGAATTACTCCTGCATGTATACAGTCAATCGGACCCAAACTTGCCAAAGCGCCGTGCGCAAGCTCCACAGTTTACCACCCCAGGCTTTGACTCAGAAGTCGAATACCATTAGATGTGTAGCAGAAGAAGAAGAAGCCAGTAACAACATGTTGAAATCTACATCCAGCGTGCATCTCATCTGTACAAAAAGTAAAGCATACAGCATGTACAAGATGTACAGAGCTGTAAAGTTGTCCACCATGGAACCAGTTTGCTGCTAGCTAGCTGTAGCTAACTTGTTTGTCAGTTGTTTGGTCTGTGACGTAATACGTCGACCAGACAAAAGGTCCATTACTAATAAGCAGTCTCATGCACGGACTAGTAGCGAACCTGGGTAAGCATTTTCATCTGAACTCTACTTGTGCATTCCATTGAAATCCCACCTCCTTGCTTATTCATTGGCCAGGAGTTCTGTTACTCATCCATGCCTGTTGCTTTCTGCCCCCCAGGGCCCCCTTTGTCTTCGGTTCATCAAGAATTTCCTCAGTTTTTGTGTTCTTCTTTCACTATATACGCATGCGAGAAAACAATGTTCTCTTCACAAAATCGTTGCAACACGTGTTCCTTTCAGATGTCCTCTTCCAAGAAGTTCAAGTGGAAGTGATGAAAGTGTTTGATTTTGGTAAACAAACTAAAGATAATGAATGTCTTTGACTTGTATGTGGTGTGCTGCACAGGTGGCTACATGCTTATGAGAATGCAGTATCCTTCCACTTCAGTAACTACTTTGTGGGCCACCTCAGTGAAGGTACCAGCATGCTGGCCGGAGCAGGCTTCACTGAAGAAAAAGACAATATCAGATGGTAAGTTCAGCTGGAGTGGAGCTGAGGGTTGTACTACAAAGCAAGGTTAGTTCGTCAGTGTTATATGTTGAGCCTGAAGTCAGAGTTTTCACTGTGATTAAGTAGGGGTGGGCCATATATTGGGTTTCACCACTGTCTTCTGTTTGTTCACCTGTACTGGTTTGAAGCTGGCTCGTTTCTACTTACATACATGTACAGAGACAAGTCAACCCGAAGTCCATTAATTTCTATAAGAATCTCTGTGATATCTGGTGTGCCTCCAAAACTCTTCCCCTCTGTAATATTTCGATCTGGAATTTACCTTGCGTACGTTCAAAAAACTGAACTTTTGCCATGGATTTTGGAGAGACCCTATGACATTGTTCTAGCTTAGCTAACAGGCTGCTAACTAGTTAACAGGCTATTTTCTTCAATTCATTTAGCTGTGTTGATTGTCAAGCGAGTTTGCATGATTGAAAAGAACGTGTTTATTTAATTTTAACACATGGTGAATCTGAGTAATGTTATTCTGCTAAAATATGGTATTCCATCATACAGTCAGATTGTCATTAACAGTTTGATATGAAATAGTCAGATTTATTAGCAGTTTGATATTAAATACAGTCAATAAAGACCAGTCAAAATGACCAGTTTATGAGCAATTCAGCTGTATTTATACATTTAAGTGTAAAGGTAAAAGGTATAATTAACTAAAAACTGGTTAGCTAACATAGGATGCTAGAGTGCAGTAGGGGTGACCCCAAATAGTCGATCATTCGGTGATTCGATTGGGAGAAGTCTGATTCAACTGCCAGTCTTGCCGCTGAATCGTCACAAAATGTGGTTATGAAACAAGACCGTGCCATTCTGACTATAAGGGGTGCTCACTGCTGCTGAACATCTTGATTTGACATTGAATGTATTTGTTTTCTAGTAATTCATGATATATAGCCTATTTTGATACAAACATCAGCCTAATTTCTGTTAATAAAAAATTGGAAATGAGCGTGCCTTTAACCAGTAGGCATAATCATTACTACGCATGAATAAATCACCCAGTTGCTCGATCCAAATAAGCTGAGGTGAGTGACTGCGCTGCAGGACCAGCAGAGCAGCATTGAGGCCTACTGTGATTTAAAGTTAAAGTTAAAATCCCACTGATTGTCACACACCTGAGTATGTGAAATTTGTGCCGGTGCCGCGCTCAGGAATCGTGGTGATGATTTACGGTGGAGGAGGTATGTGCTCTCAAATCAAAGTTTTTTGAAGGATTATTCGTTTACCTGAAGTGTCTTGAAACAAATTTCACCGCCGATTGTTTTCTTGATAGAGATTTTTTATTTGGCTACTTTTTGTCCGACGTGCCAAACAATTGAGAGCGGTGATGCACGGTCCTTATGGATGAACTTGTATGGACCTGAGTTGATTAATGAAGTAACTTGAAGTCAGAAAGAAGGAAAACTGTTTATAGACCTTTTGATGATGTTTTTGGATGTTTATATGTGACGAGTCAGAAACGACTCCTGTTAAAGACATGGATGAGGCTGCAGCACGTCTGCGCTCACCTAGAGCATCATACCTTGATGAAGTGAAAGGAATAAAGATAAAGGGAAAATGATAACCCTTTTACTTTTATTATTATTATCTTATTATACCAACTGAATAATTAAATTTGTTTATTTGGGTGTTTTAGCTCTTTTCTCTGGGGTGGAAACTGACACAAATGAGCTCAATCAATGAAGGGGAAAACAACATGATTCGAAGATTAGTCGGCTAAAGGAAAAATCCGTCAAATCAGAGTTGACTATGAAAATTCTTATTCGGGGACACCCCTAGAGTGCAGGCATGTGACTCGTTCAGCCGATTGTACTTCTTTTTAATTAGATATTTCACAAAATATGCTAGGTAAGGTGAATTTGGTGCCAATGAGAAGTATATCAGTTTTATCACTGTTCAATATGAGGAAGTTGCAGGGGAACCAGGATTTGATTTCCTGAAGGCAGTCAGAGAGGGAGGAGGGCAGGAGGGTGGTGGTAGGTGGTGGACAGATAGAGCTGGATGTCATCTGCATAGCAATGGAAATGGATGTTAAATTTACAAAAGATGTTACCAAGGTGAAGAAAGTAGATGATAAACAGAAGGGGACCCAAGACAGAACCTTGAGGAACATCGGTAGTAACTTGAAATGGCTGGGATTTGAATGTTTTGTGCTGGGTAAATTGGTCAGAGAGATAGGATTTAAACCAGGCGAGGGGTGTGTCAGTGATTCCAATGGAAACCAGTCTATTAAGTAGGATGTGGTGAGAAATGGTGTCAAAGGCCGCATTGAGATCAAGTAGGATGACAATGGATAGGAGTCCGGAATCAGCTGCCATGAGGAGGTCATTTGTGATTTTTACCAAGGCTGTTTCTGTGCTATGGAGGGGGCGGAAAACAGGCTGGAATTGCTCATAAAGGTTATTGTCAAAGATATGAGCATGAACCTGAGATGCAACCGTTTTTTCAAGGATTTTAGAGATAGGATGGAGGTTATTGAAATTGTTGGGGTCTGAACCAGGTTTCTTAAGAACCTACGTTACTGCGGCTGATTTCAGGGCTGAAGGAACAATACCAGAGGTGAGGGAGGAATGTATGTTAGCAGTTATTAGGGAGGACAGAGAGGGTAAGCAGGCTTTTACTAGGATAGTGGGAAGAGGGTCTATGCCAGGTTGTTGGCTTGGATTTCCTGATGAGGTCAGATATTTCTGCGGCAGGTGGAAGACTGAAACTTGTAAGTGAGGAGGTGGGAAGGGCTGAAAGAACTGGAGAGGTCAAACTGTGGGAGGTGGTTAGTTGTTGGTGAATATTGTCTATTTTGACATGTTTGACTTTGACAAATGACATTAGGGATTTACAATAGGCAGCTGAGTACTGATGAGGAGCAAGATAGTCCGTGGGTCGTAGTATGATGTTGACCGTGGAAAACAGAGTGTTCCCTTCACCTGAGCTGATTACTCCTGTAGTAGGTGGATTTTGCTGCAGAGACAGTATCCTTGTAATGGAGGATGTGGTTATTGTACATTTCTTTGTGAATGTTAAGTACAGTTTTTTTGCAGAGGTGTTCCGCAAAGAAAACTTGCAGAATGTGAGTTAACGCTATTTGTTTTTTGGGCCAATTAAGTATTAACTTTGCAGTGAACTTGTAATATACACTGCTTAATATTTAAATTGTTGCATGGTGTTCAGCCTAGGGTCTTTGTTCTTTGGTGATGTACATCTTTTGTAAGGTGTTAAGTTTTAAACAACTAAAAAACACAACTAACTACACTTGACTCATGCCAGGAGAGAGACCTGGCTGGCACCCCAGGAAAAACAAGACTTACCTAAACTAAACAAATTATTACTAAAACAAAATAAATACAATAAAATAAAACTTCTACCTCAAACCGTTACAGTACCTGGCAGGCCAACATCTTCATTTGTTTTTACCCATGCAATATTATTCTGTTTTTGTCCCAGTAATGTTCCAAGCAAATATTCCAAACTCTCTGATGGCAAAAAACTGACAAAGTTAAATCAAGTTTCTCTCCATCCATTAAGAAATGCACTTCCTTGTGTTGGACATTAGAGGCCTCATCCGTATATTTATAGAGCTGTGGACACCAGTCACCTACGTAAGTGGAAATGAGGCGTTATTCAAGCAGACCTACCGGTATGTGAGTTGGGGGTTTTTCTAGGATGGTGAAGGCATGGCTCCCCCTCCCTGCCTCCAATTGGCTTACCCTGATACTGTATTCTGCCATAACCTTAACCAATCTCATTTCTCATGCCTAAACCTAACCAACCTAACCAACCTAACCAACAAAGGCACCAAGTTCTAGCCAATCAGAACGAGAGTAGGGTGGGTCATGACTGCCTTTGCAGTCCTCGGACAATTTTTTTTTTTTCATCCACTATATTCCCATTTAGCTATGCCTCCATTAAGCAAAACAAATTATGTTCTATGTAGATGTACAGGCTGTTCACCAAGGTGCTTTATTCACCCGCCCTGTTGGCTAGGGACCTGACGTTCCCCATGCTAATTAATGGAAAATAAGTTTTGAATTTCTCATGTGACTCCTGCCAAAGTGAAACAGTCATCATATCACCTCTGGTATGGCAAACCAGGCTACCTACTGGTCAGCGCCAGAATAATACCAATAGCACCATCTGTGTCTGTGTGTTTACTATACAGGGATATGAGTGTGGTGAAACCTCTCAGTGTGGAATTACCTCGCTCCATGGTGCTGGTAGTGACGTCCTGGAACATCCCCATGTCCCGATGGCTAAAAACCTGTAAGTCCTAGCCTGAGCCCTGTCTGTTAAACTGAAACGGAAGTTGGTCACTTACTGATCCATCCAACGCTTCATGGAGCGAGTTAGCTTTGAACCTACTGGGCAGACATTCATGGTCCCCAGATGATGATTTCAAATACTTTTTGGATTCCCCCTAACCTCTCTTCAGTTACCATCAACAAACCAACTTCTTCACTTAAACACTAGATGTAACATTTAACTTTTAAGTAGTACGACTTTACTGACTTTGATGTCCCACAAAATGGTATTGTATATAACTGATGTATGTCCTGATAAGATATTAGACTGTGGACAAAACCAGCACATTGAAGATATAACTATAGCCTTGAACATGTGAATGGCATTTTACCTGTTTTTCATGGACGTAATGATTAAAAGCCAGATTAATGGATAATGAAAATAAAAGTTAGTTGCAGCCCAACTGGTATTTACAGTTTGTCTGTTGTTGGGTAAATGGTAGACCTGCACTTGTATAGCGCTTTTCTAGTCATCTGACTACTCAAAGTGCTTTTTACACTACGAGTCACATTCACCCATTCACACACACATTCATACACTGGTGGCCGAGGCTACCATACCATGCCACCTGCTACTCAGTTTTTAACACACTAACACACCAATGTAACAGCCACAAGTTGGGGTTCAGTATCTTGCTCAAGATTACTTCGGCTGGAGGAGCCAGGGATTGAACCGCCGATCTTCCGATCGGTGGATGACCCGCTCTACTCTGAGCCACCAGCCACCCCGTACTATCACCTCATTTGACACTTTTGTAATTTTGTATTTAAATGCTTTTATGGAAGGTACATTGTGAAAAAAGCCACCGCTCATCCGTAGGCAAAACACTTAAAGAGGTGCTGGAGCTGAACTTAGAGCCTTAGGTTGCCTGAAGGTCACAATGACCGAAAGCTTGCATTAAACTGATATATGCACAGTGTTTGAGTGTGCGGCTGCTGTTTTGTTGTTTTTTATGGAAATTACATTAAAATGTAACTTAAATTTTTTACTGTATAGTCGTAATGTTGTTGTGTGTTTACTGTGTTCTTCTGTTTGACGCTCATCAGATGTCTTTAAAAATGCCATGAAACTGGGGACTTTTTCAGCCATCGTGGTGACATACACAGCCAGCGCCTTACTGCATGTTAGTAAGACGATACACTCTTTAACAGTACTCAAGGCCATTTTAATATACAGTATGCTAAAATCATGTTAGAGACAATTAATCTTTTGTAGGAAGTCTATGTACTGTCACTTCAGTATGGAAACGTGATTAACTACAATCTGTCATCCTCCATCTGTGCCATGTGTCTTTAACTGTCCACTAATAGAAAAGCTGTGAATGTTAAGGTCTATTTGCTATCTTACTACTTTGTAACATTACTTTTTGAAACAGAAAACACATTTTATTTTGTGATATTTAATAGAAATGACATACAATGTAGCTTACAGCAGATAGCCTAGCTTGTTATTAGTCATTAAGCTCCCTGGTTATCTATCTCAAGCCAGCTGCCACCTTATTTAGGTTTTTATAGTGAAATAAGAAGTATCAAGTAGATAATTCGTCATCTTAACTTAATGAATTAGCCGTTCCTCGTCTGTTGTGGCGCTTGAAAACAAATGACAGATATTAATAGAAACACGCCGTCCAACAAAAGTTCAGTTCACAATGCAGCTTCAAATCCAGAATGTTGTTATATTGTTGAAGTTTTTGTTTTCTTGCTGTGTCTCCTCTGTCACCCAAAAACATATGAATTTTGTTGTAAACAAATACCATGTGCACTGCTCTGCCCCTCCCACCTCCTGAAATGTGATCTTCTTCATGTTGCTGACACCAGACACTAGAGGTTCAGTTAGTCTGTTTATGAACATAATATTATGTTTATTAGGGGTGGGAATCTCTAGGCACCTCACGATTTGATTCAATTCCGATTCCGAGGGCAACGATTTCAATTATAAAACGATTCCTCAATTATAAAATGAGCCAATAAGAAAATTTACAGCAGATATTGAAAAACATTTTTGTAATAAAGCTGGAAATATATATCCAGTGCATACAAACTATAGGCCTATTACTTACTGTGGTTGAGATGACTACATGCTACCAGTCTCCCCCGGTCCATCCTCCTCATCCACAAATCTTAACGGGACTCTCTTGTCCCTCGTCGACCTCCTCGACATTTCTCCTCCAGTATTTACAAAACTATAACTGACTATAACTATCTATGAACTATAAAAACACGAAATATTGTAAAAAAAAAAAAAAAAAAAAAAGACGAACAATGGCAAAACTACGAACTATGGTGAAAACACGACGAAAACACAGCAAAAAACACTCAAAAACACGGCATAAAAAAAACTCAAAAGCTCTCAAAAAAACAAAAATACTATTATTTACAACACTAAATATTATTTACAAAGAAAACGCCACCCAAACTCCGCTAAAACACAGCTAAATCACTCCAACTTGCACTTTCCTCGTCAGCTGTCACTCTCCTCCTGCTGTACCCACTTCCCTCCCCTCCTCCACAGGTAATGACATCACTACCGTAATGGTCACTGGAAAGCTCCGCTTCTCAGCTTTCAGAATCCATTGGAATTATGTCAATAGCATGAATGGTCGAGGAGTTACGGTAATTTGAAGAATAAATATAAAAATAAAATTAAAATCGATTATGAGTTTTCCAAATCAATGCTCGCATCGTTCAAGACAGAATCTCGATGCATCTTAAAATCATTTTTTCCCCCACCCCTAATGTTTATCATATTGCTTATTAATGTAGTACATGTTGGATTTAGTGCTGTGATGCCTGGAGCTCAGGTTGCCAGTTTAAACTACTTTTTAATTTGCCAGAAGGTGTCAGAATAATAAATGCTGGTTTAGCTAGTTTGCATTAAATCAAACCAGTTTAAGCTCGTACACCAGACCAGATGGGCAAAATCTGGAAATAAACCCAATGCTATGTAACAAGTTTTTTGACAGGGGCTATGTTTGATAAACATAAACTGTAATACTTAAATTCTGATGCCAGTGTGTTGTACAGAGTTAAAAGATAAAAGCTCATTTTAATCCACAGTGCCGGGGCAGCTGAACAATAATTCAGACAGCATATACATCAAGCATTATAAAGTACTGTTCACTAGGATGCATATAATATTTTCAGAACAGTTGTTATTGTTTTATGAGTCAATAAAGGTTCCTAAAATTAAAATTGATGATTGCACACTTGATTCTCCTTTAACCACCTTTTCGGCATCAGATAAAAGGAATAAAAATCTGTGGCAGTTTTGATATGGGATGGAAGGGAGTTCCACTTAAATGATAAAGGTTGGCTGAGAGGATGGCAGTCACTCCTGAGTGTGCTGTTTTTCATTTTAACATGTATTTGAATGGATTTTTTGGCTAGACTACAACAGTGAGCAGAAGCATTGTAAGCAAAAGTCTATGACTGAAGGAATGCCTCTACTTCCTGTTTAAAATTAATAGCCATTGTTTAAAATTAAGTGCCTTCTAGCATTTTATACACAGTCCAACCATATACTAGGTTTTGACCATATCACAGAATTTAGTGTCCCTTGAAACAAAACGTTGAGCCTCTGTAGCACTAGGGTTATGTGTAAAAACACACAGCCCTGAACACTGATCTTGGAAAGAGATGTGCATATGCATATGAAAATGATTTTGTTTAGAGATACAGTTTGGCAGTATTCACTTTGTGTAAGATGCTGAATGACTGAACGTCATTACTTGAGCTTAATGTGCTGTCTGTTGTCTTCAGGGTCTGAGCTTTCACCTGGGAGCTGTTCTGCTCTCTTTGGGCTTCATCACATATGTTGAACATGGTATGAAAAACACATCAGCTGTACAGAATACATAATGTTCTAATTGTGTCTAATGATGTTTTATTCTGCCAGCTCTGTCTGTGTTGTATTGACTTGCCTCCTGTTGCTGCCTCTTGTTTCTCAGTTGACTTACCTCGTTCAATAAAGGTAAAATAAAGTTATAT